CTGACGTTGGCAGGGCGGGAAGAGGCACCGGATAATCCCCCTAGCGTCCTCGACGGCACGTATCTCGCACATGCGCTAAAAGTGATTTACAGGTGTACGGACATTTTTAGCCGACTCAGACATTGTTAAACTGACTTCTTTTAAAAATTGAGTTTGCGCATACTATGCTAGGCTTTCTATATACCGTAAACTCCGTTTTCATGGGCTCTGTAAATAGTGTATTTAAACACTGATTGGAGTGATGTGACGAATCGTCACCCTATCAGGTACCTGGTTAGGTTTCGACTGAAGGCATGGACACGTGTTAGTATGCGAACACACTGACGTATCAATGCCCTTTATTTGTCATAATGCACTAGGAGAATACCTTTAATGTTTCATGCTTTTAGTCGACAGTGGATGAGTGAGTTGTGTTTTAACGCAGCTTTTAAATATTCCAATTATATCCGGCGTGACTGTTTAATGTGGGAGGAAAGCCCGAAGTAATGTTGTTGTTCTCAGACGTTGGTGAAATTCATAGTGCTGACAAACCAAGAAACATATTTGAGGCTAATTGTGATTCGAGTGAGTTTAGTTTTACACCGCTTTTAGCAATATTCCAGCAATATCACGGCGGGGGACACCAGACATGGGCTTCACACATTGTACCCATGTTGGGATCGAAGCCGGTCCTTCTGCGTGACGAGCGAACGCTTTAACCACTAGGCTACCCCATCTCCCCCTTGGGGTTGGAAGCTCGATTATAACACAAGAAATGTCCAAAGCGTCCTAAACACCGCAGTCATGATGCAGTCATTCCAATAAGAATGCGACGGTAAGTTTGTTAAGCTGTGATCGACAGTGTGCCTTTAAACTTTCGTCCCTGTTTAACGTCGGATTCAGCAATATTGTGATACGGCGACCAAACAATCGAGTCACGTCACAAAAACAAGTGACTGATGCCATGAGCATCACAAAGGTACAAATATACGCATTCAACAAAGTCGCCCAGCCCGAACATTTGATTCGTGTAGATCGATGTTCATGCTGTTGATCACTGGATTGTCTGGTCCAGATTCGATTATTTACAGACCGCCGCCATATAGCTGGAATATTGCTGAGTGCGGCGTTAAACGACAAAACCAACCAACCAACCAACACTTGATTGGCTGATACGACGATGGGGACAAATTGCAAATTGGGAATTCTGGCGGATGTGTGTCTGTAACTCGAATCGACAGCCTGCGTTTCAAGGAATTACTATTTTGGGGATGATGATATCGACGGTATGTATCTACTGAGGGTATCATTCCGCTGACGGTGCAAAACAGACGTTGCCTTCAAGAGTGCTCTTAAAACAGGCATCACTATGACGGTGCACTTCATGAGAAGTATCACTTTGTCGACTGAGCACTTGTAGGTAGGTGTCATGTAACCAGTGAACTGGCAAGAGAGGCGGCATTATGTCGACAGTGGACTTTTCAGGCAGGTGTCATTATGCCACCTTGCACTTTCAAAAGAGGTGTCATAATGAGTGAGTGAGTGAATGTGGTTTTATACCTCTTTTTAGCAATATTCCAGCAATATCACGGCGGGAGACACCAGAAATGGGCTTCACACATTGTACCCATGTCGGGAATCGAACGCGAGCCTTCGGCGTGACAAGCCAACGCCTTTACCCACTTGGCTATCACACCGCCCCGGTGGCATACTGGCGACAGTACATTTTTAAGGGATGTCAATATGTCGACAGTGCATTTTAAGGCCGGTGTCACAAACACCTAAATCCGTGTGGAATAATTGTGACATTGCGCGTGATAAATTGCAGGCAAACGGGCGTACTGAACCCTACGTGAATACGACAATAATATCAGCGACACCAAATTTCGCGGCAAGATGGAACGACCTTCGGTTGAGGGGACAAGGAGAGGCGGCCATAAATGTTTGGGGTGCAATGGGTCAACTGCATGCAGGTAACATGCACACACAGATGATGAAAAAAGGACTGTTTGCAAACACTTAGAGCGTTCATTGCCCTTCACATGGAGTGCATAGACGGGCCTTATACAGCCTCTCATTGTCTGACTCGTATGCTGATTTGCTAAACCAGCATCAACATACGTGAGGTTTTCGGTGCACCTTCACTTCAACAAAACATTGAAATTGAAACAGCGCTAAAAGCGGCTGGATCCGATGAAAAAATGGAATTCTTGAAATTTAAACATTTTTTCTGTGATTTCCAGGTAAGTGGGCGTACAACTGTGTGTTGTTCAAAATAGCTATGATGCTGTGCCGAGTTCGCACTTGATCGTCAGACTACCGTCAGTTTGTGAATCACGTGTAGCGGAGTCACGTGCAGCCAGTTTTGATGGAACACTACCGACTGGAAAAAAGTATTTAAAATCTGCATTTTATCAATACTGAATACTTATACACACGGTCTTCTCTTATGATAGCTAAAATAAAAAAAAAGAGGACGAAAGCTTATTTATTTTATTTTTTTCACAAATAAATTCATTATGCATGGCACCCAGGGCCTCTTAAGCATTAGCAGAATGTCCTTTGCAGACTCAGTCTGTGCATTTTGAATTTATAACGCGTTGCTGTTTAACGTAAACGCGTTATTTCACGTTTGGTGGTGGGTGCATCACATGATGCAGGTTGCGCCAGGAGACATGTCGCCCTCAGACAACACTGCAGTTTTGCCCATCTCAGTCACCAGCCCCAGACAAATGAGATCCAAGTGTGAAATAACGCTGTTTGGTGCAACTGGGTTCTGTACCGAGTTGCGCCTCTTGTCTATACTCTTTACAGCGATTATCACAGGTGCGCGGAGATCTGCCGCCGACATGTCTGAAGGTGAACGTTGTGATCCGAAGCTGTCTGTCGGGAGATGGTGTTGAGCGACCCTCGCATGTGTTATGCAGTGCATGATTACACGACGCTGGAGGCCATGGTCTGGTGTCTTGGTACCGCAAAGTGCTTGGATATACCCACCCCATATGACCCCCATTAACACTGCTGAGTGATTGGAGCCCTCTCCCTTTATCACTGGCAACTGCCTGGAGCCCTCTCCTTTGAAATCACTTGTGACTGGAACTCCGGCCCGTTTAACACAGCCGATCTAGGCCTGTAACACCGCCGACTTGAAGCTGTATTCCCTAACATCGGAACTCCGGCCCCTCTAACACCGCCGACTGACTAGGTAGGGTCCGTATTCCCCTTTAACATCGCCGAATGACTAGGAACCGTATTCACATATAACACCGTCGACTGACTAGGGTCCGTATTCCCCTTTACCACCACCGAATGACTAGGAACCGTATTCCCCTTTAACACCGCCGACTGACTAGGAACCGTATTCACATATAACACCGTCGAATGATTAGGGTCCGTATTCCTCTTTAACACCGTCGACTGACTCGGAACGGTATTCCCCTTTAACACCATCGACTGACTCGGAACCGTATTCCCCTTTAACACCGCCGACTGACTAGGAACCGTATTCACATATAACACCGTCGAATGATTAGGGTCCGTATTCCTCTTTAACACCGCCGACTGACTCGGAACGGTATTCCCCTTTAACACCATCGACTGACTCGGAACCGTATTCCCCTTTAACACCGTCGACTGACTCGGAACCGTATTCCTCTTTAACACCGTCGACTGACTCGGAACCGTATTCCTCTTTTAACACTGCCACCCCATCCCCATCCTCCTTTTGACACTGCTGACTGACTGGAGTTCTGGCTCTTTAACACTGCCAACTGACAAGAGCCCTGTTATCCTGGCACATGAGCTCCTTTTGACAAAGCCAAATAACCGGATCCCTGTGCCCCTTTAACACTGCCGACTCTTTCAGTGAGTGAGGTTTTGAATGGCATTTAGCAACAGTGTCACTTTATCAGTTTTATTTTATGCGCCCCTTAAGTTCCATTTAGTGATTATCAACTTAAGCATGTTGTGGGCACCATCATTTGAATTTCGATTACACTATTTAATGAATTAGTGAAGGAAATATGCCAGTTGACGATTCTCCTTATTACACAGACAAAGCGTCTCAGCTGAACATCAGTCACAGCGTTCAGACAACCTCAACAAGAATTTCACTGATTCTGTAATATCCTTAGTTTGCCTTCTTCTGCAAAATGAATCGAAATTAATTCAACCCTTCTTCATCTGCATCTTGAAGAGTTTGAGATGCAATGTATCCACTCAATATATCTACTACTACTACTACTACTACTACTACTACTACTACTACTACTACTACTTCTACTCCTGTTAGTTTGCATATTTTCAGCAACAAATCCACGCGTTAAAGCAGAATCATAAGAGCTACATTATTCCCAAGTCACCGGATCAGTACCCGCCCGATCGGCATTCCCAGCTTCCTGGGGAGTATACCACCCTGAGCCCTATGTGCATATCGCATGGTTTGCATCACACGTCAGTGCAAGCTTTGATTCAGCTTTTTATTAAAAGCAAAAACACTAATTACCAGTCAAATCAGCACAACGTGATAGCCTGGTGTTCGGAACCGATAATCGATCGATATTTAGTTAACGATTGCCAATCTCTATGATCTGTATCGATAGTCAGCCCTAGTTGCAAGGACAGACCGCCTCCGTGGTGTAGTGGTTAGAGCGTCCGCCCGGAGAGCGGAAGGTCGCGTGTTCGATCCCCGACCGCGTCATACCAAAAGACGTTAAAATATGGTACTTGTTGGTCCCTGCCTGGCGCTCGGCATTAATGGGTACAACAAGGACTGGTCGGCTCGGAGTCAGTATAATGTGTCTGAGCGGGTATTCATGCTTCACTGCGGCATGTTATCTCAGTGGGCTAGCACTATAAAACCAGCTTCAGTCTGGGCTAGTACAAGCAGCCGCACATACACATACACACGCATGCACGTCGTCATATGAGCGAAATATTCTCAAGCACGACGTAAAACCCAATTTCACCTCACCTCACCTAGTTGCAAGGATATCGTTATACATCAAACTAACGGGACTTACCATACAGTTTGGACCACTGCGCGTGGGGTCTGTACTTGGGGTACATTCTGGGAAACGCTTCTTTTGCCCAGTCTCCGAAGAAGGAGAGGTTGTACTCGGCTAGGGAGTCCCCACCGCACTTGCCATTGCCACGCTTCGCCCGCCGTCCTCGACGACAGTCTACCACCGACAACACCACGTACACACATACTAGAGTCTTCAGGTAATCCAAACCGAGTGAACACTTCATCGTCAGTGACTTTCTCCAGGTTTCTCCATAAGGTAACACTACGTCACTTGGGTCACTGTACAGTGTGACTACAATTGCAGGCGTGTGGTTTATATAGAGCGGACTTAAAGGCCGGGCTCCATTCTATTGGTCTGTTCTGGTTTCGTGTTTTTTTACTCGCTGCACGGGAGGTGTGCGTTTGATTTTTCACAAACGGTACATCATTGTCACGTGATGAGGTAGATACGACCAGCGAGCGCGGGAAGCAGAGGTGATCTCGTGCCGAGTGTTTTGATCACGTGGTCAGCCTGACCTTGCCGAGCTCAAGCGCAGACGAGAGTCTTGTCTCAGCCTGGGCATCTCGATGTCTTCTGATGCGGGGGCACAGGCACCCTGATGATCATATACAGTGGACCGCTGATGGTGGTAACTACATCGTCTACACCTGCCTCCACTCCATCTCCTGCAACATCTAGCGTCCTGGAACACAGGGCGACCAAAGTCAATATCTGAAGTGAGTCAGCGAACGGTGTTTTAGGACGCATTGGACAGTATTTGAGTTATATTCTCAGAGATTCAAACACCAAAGGGGCGGCGGGGTAACCTAGTGGTTAAAGCGTTCGCCCGTTACGCCGAAGTCCCAGGTTCTATTCCCCACAAGGGTACAATGTGTGAAGCCCATTTCTGTTGTCCCCGCCGGGATATTGCTGGAATATTGCTAAAAGCGACATAAAATTAAATACACACCCCAACTCCAAGAGACCAAAAAGATGTCGGGCTCCAAGGGCGGCAGGCCCCGGACGGGACCAGAGTGAGATTTATCAGTTTTGTCGTGAGAGCGTGACATTAGTAATCAAAGCGTGAGTCTCAAGCCAAAGGCGTGAGGGTTGGCAGGTATGTAATTTGGGAGTAAAGTCCACACTAAAGACAAACAATATATTGAAATAGTTAAAATATTATTATCGAAATTTGTGGGATTGCGTTTATTGTTTATTTGAGGGGCGCGGTGGGCGAGCTGGCTAAGGCGCCAGGCTAGTGATCCAGCGAGGTTGAGGTGTCGGGATGGAGCCCACCTGTGACCGGGTGACCGTTAGGACGAGAAAGCCACAATAACTTGGTGCGCCTAGTGGCTGCAAGAGTTGTATACTCCCCAGGGAGATGAGATTGATAATACCATGTGCCGTTGAGATTGACATCCAATGAGCGAGGGAAAAAATACCAGCGCCTTGAGCATGCACTAGTTGCCTGGATATGTGCGCTATATAAATACCCTATAATAATAATTATTGCCGCTCACATCAATATTCCATATATATGTGGGATAATCCGGACAACCCCGTGATTGATATACTCTCCCAAAAAAGAAACGCATCATGAAAATAGCAATTTCATGTAGCAATGAATTAAAACGTGATTCATTTTACAAAAGGTTTTGCTCTGTTTATGAGTCCTATGGTGTTTATGTTTTGAAACATCACAACAAAACGCACCATCCGTAAAATACCCGTATTTAACAGCATGATTTTCAATTTCGGCGTGTAGTGTCACAGAATACACAATTCACATGCAATGCACGTGAAAATTGGGGATCAGATAGTCTCAATGATGGGTATAAAAGGTTGATCGCTGTCTGTCGATTATTCACTGTATTTGGAATATTGTTGACGAACGCAAAATGCCACGTCTAAGTGAAGCCAACCGTCATATCGCCATTGGTTTGCTTGAAGCTGGCCAGTCTCAACGTGCAGTTGCCCGACGCATGAATGTTCACCAAAGCACCATTTCACGGCTCTGGGAGAGATATCGCCGGCAGAATGCGGTAGCAGATGCCCCTCGTAGTGGGCGACCTCGAGGACCACTGCGGCGCAGGATCGCTACATCCGGGTACATCACCTGCGTCATCGAACAGCTACGGCGACCAGTACCGCTGGACAAATACCCGGATTGAGGAGGCTTTCTGCACAGACCGTCAGGAACAGGTTGAGAGAGGCTGGTTTACGTGCCAGAAGACCTTATTTTGGCCCTGTGCTTCGACAACAACATCGTCGACATCGAGTTCAATGGTGCACCAACGTTCAGGCCTGGAACCTACCGAATTGGCGTAGAATCTGGTTCAGTGATGAATCACGATTTCTATTGGAACGACGCGATGGAAGAATGCGGGTGTACAGACGTCGACGTGAACGTTTCTCCGACGCTTGCGTTCCCCAGGTGGACAGATTCGGCCGGGGCGGTGTTATGATGTGGGGAGCGATCACCTGCCGTAGGAGAAGTGATTTGGTGATGATCCAGGGCAACCTGACAGCTCAACGGTACTGTGACGAAATCCTACGCCCACACCTCCTTCCAATCATTGATCGCGAGAGGGAGTTGTTTCAATGCCAGGCCCCACACAGCACGTCACACTAGAGACTTCCTCCAGAACCACAACATCAATGTGCTCCCCTGGCCCTCAAGATCACCGGACTTAAACCCGATCGAACATCTGTGGGATGCCCTGGACAGACGGGTGCGACGCCGTAACCCTCAGCCCCAGACACTTCAGCAACTCGCACAGGCACTACAGGCAGAGTGGGCTGCGATTGGGCAACACGAGATTCTGAGACTTATTCGTTCGATGCCGAGGCGATGCCGTGCAGTTCTGGATGCCCACGGTGGTCACACGAGGTATTGACTTCAGCGCCACCACACGTCTCCATGTGACACTCAAACTGACTTTCCTCGAGTTGGTGCCAAAGACAGATCAGTCTGCATTCCCAGTGTGCAATTTCGCTATATTTCATTTTTGACTCATAAAGCCTACAAGATGTTTCAAAATAAACATAAAAATACAGTTGAAATTCCTATATGCGTTTCTTTTTTGGGAGAGTATATATGTATGTGGGCTATAGATAATCCGGACAACCCCGTGATTGATATTATGAGAAACGATTCATGCCGTAATGTACGTTGACACAACTTCCACCAAGTACCATTAACACACGATTCGTTAAGTCGCCCACTGGCGGTATGGGTAACCTTGTGGTTGAAGTGTTAGCTCATCGCGCCGAAGACCCAGGTTCGATTTCCCATATGGGTACAATCTGTGAAGCCAATTTCTGGTGTCTCACGCCATGATATTGCTGGAATATTACTCACTATACCCACTCACTAACTCACCTCTTAAATGACCGACCCTTGAAGATGCCGGGATAGAATAGGTCTTCACTCACTCACTCACTCACTTAAATGACCAGTAAACGTTACTGACGACCATTTCTTACCCCGGTTTAGACCTGAATCTCTCTGTAGGTGTAAGGGGCGGTGGGGTAGCCTAGTGATTAAAGCGTTCGCTCGTCACGCCGATGACCCGGGTTCGATTTCCCACATGGGCACAATGTGTGAAGCCCATTTCCGGTGTCCCCCGCCGTGATATTGCTGGAATATTGCTAAAAGCGGCGTAAAACCATACTCACTCACTCACTCTGTAGGTGTAAGGCAATAACGGACTTTTTATCACGAAGAACGGTTTAATTATTGCAAATTACACTTTAACCACAACAATTATTAGAAAAACTTGTGGGATTGATCTTGGTCTTCAACTCACCAATCATTCCATTATTTACTCAAACCTCATGTTCCTAGATAGCTGTTTTCAAAAACACGTGTACTTGTAATGCAAATCGGGTTGTTTTTGTAGAACATTGAACGAAATAGCACGTCTTGAAATTTTGCGAGTGTACCCGATTAACAGCATACCCGGATAAATATCACCCCCACGTCCTGACCCCCCAACACATTAGTTTGTACAAACATCAGTGTCCCCTGGGGGAATTGTCACATCCATGGTGCCTCCCATCAAAAGACTGCGACAGCGTTAGACGTGCTCTGTACACAAAACACTAGACCGCCAGTGTCACTACAAGCATAAGTGTACCCTTCTGAGGGCCGCACAAGCCGCGATATTTGCTCGTTTCATGACGATAAGTGTGGTTCATAGAAAACATCCACGCGCGGAGAGCTCATTGCTTTACTGCGGTTGGAATTAGTCGCATCCATAGACATGCGCGGCGAATATATACGGCTAACAATCGTAATGCTTACATTGAACAAATTAACTCTACCCCAACCGTCGCTACACGCTTGCTAACAATGTGGACACAAATCTAACGTTGGTGTAAAATAAGGTCCAGCTTCCAAACCTGAAACCTTAAAGAAATATACGATATTTTTTCTTAAAGGTAAAACGTTCGCTCTCAACAATAAACCAAGAGAGTTAATTGTGCATTTGTGGTTTCCCTTGTTCAGTTGGTGACGTTTCTTGTGCCGGTTCTTTACATGCAAAACAATAAAAAAAAGGTCACGCAAATGTTGTTTACCTCAACAACAATGAGTAGAATACAAAACATTTTGTTTTCAATGCAGCAGTTCCTATCACTATTCATGCAACATAATTTAATCAAATTGTCTAAATATACAGACAATACAATATATTTGCTTACAAGAGAGAAAATGTTATGTTAAATACTGCCCTTCACTATTTCGCGAAAGATCGTGAAAAAATAATAGTGTGGGAGGGTCACTACTTTTGCACACTCATGGTAGAAAAATCTCCGCCCCTCCCCTTATAAACCACTGTTCCCTTACATCAATATTTTCTTGTATGGCTGCCAAGCGAATACAAAAGTATGGTCACAAAAGAATGTTGGTTGGCAATACATTTGCGAAACACAGGTAAAACTTGTCTATGTTCTGGCCAATGTTCAACAATATTTTTGCAGTGCTATCAAATTCCTAGTTCCCGGCGAAAGGATGGACGTATGCTTGTACGGTATTGTGAACTTCCAAGATCCACCTGTTTCCTTTAAGTTGTTTGTCATACCTGTGATTGTCTTCTTAAAGGGGGACTCTTGTCGAGTCAGTGACCCCGTTAGCCGCCTCTTACAAGCATGGGTTACTGAAGATCAATTCTAACCCGGATCTTCACGGGTCCAACGAATCGGGAGTAACCAAGCTTCCCTGCATGGAAGAGTCTTTGTACAAACGGATCCTGCTTTAATACAGTCGGGGTTTCGTGCTGTCCGAGAAAATGGTAGTACCAATGACACATATTCACAAT